TGGCCCCGCCCCCTACTAACTTTTTTGTACATATCTCGAGAACTACTATAGCTATGTCAACCAACCTATATGGAGTCGTTTCTTTTATGCATTTCCATATAGAGTTCAAAAATGGAAGAAATCGGATAATAACCACGCCCACATCCCATACAAAGGTTATGTTGAAAATCACTAAAAGTGCGTTAACTGACTAACAAAAAACGTCAGAAACACTAAATTTTGCAGAATAAATGTCAGAAGGAAGTTGCATCCAGGCCTTTTTTAAAACTTGAAAATGGTCATGGCGTCGCCCACTTATGGACCAAAAACCATATCTCAGGAAGTACTCAACCGATTTCAATGAAATTCGGTATATAATATTTCCTTAACACCCTGATGATATGTACGAAATATGGGTGAAATCGGTTCACAACCACGCTTGATATCTCGATTATCAATTTATCATGCGAGAGTATAAAATGTTCGGTGACACCCGAAACTAGCTCTTACTTACTTTTTTTTTTTTTTTTTTTTTTTAAGCAAAAACACGGAAACTTCAAATCTATTGCGAAATATAAACAACAATCTGTTGAGCCCAATTTATGATGATTTGTTTGAGCATTTCGACTGGACTCTAGCGATGTTTTCATCCAAGGCCAGAATCGACGCGGGATTGTCCGCATAGACTTTAGACTTTACATATCCAAACAGGAAGAGAATAACGGTGTAATATCAAATGATCTTGGTGGCCAATCAACCGGCCCAAAATGCAAAATTATCTGCTCACCGCAGTGTTATCTCAATAAATATTGTGATGCGATGTGACGCCGTCTTGTATAAAGAAAATGAAAAAACTACCTCCACTTAGATCACCCGTTTCATTGCAATATTTTTATAACTAAAAATTTTCCTAGCAGAAATTATTTGGTCACTCTATTGCGATTCAGTGGTGACTAATGGTTAGCAATCAAGACGGTAGGACACTGAATTTAGAGGATTCAATAAAATTATTACCAAATACTCATTTCCCACGGTCAGACGCGCGATATTTTCAAGAAATCCCGCTAAATCGTATGTCAAAGGGAAATCGGTTTATACTGCCCTACATGTAAGTAGTTGCGAAAATAGAATATTCTCTACAAAAACGATAATCCGCCCTGACGACATTCATTAACGTGGAAGGTTCATTCAACAATGCTGTTATTGTATATTGCTTCTTTTGACATTAACCAGAATCTGTTGGCCTGATTAAGCTATACGCTAAACAAAAAAGACAACCCATCCACGTTGGGCAAGAAGACATCCTATCCCCCATGCTTTTGGTTACCTATATCAACGTATTATTACTTCTCCTCAACAGGGAGATCTTCAAGGTTGTCTCTAATGCAAACGACCTCACAGTACTTTGAATCTTAATCACCATTCGCGGCGCATATCTTTTTTTTTTTTTTATTCCTTAAGCGTAGCGCTATTGCACTATCGAGCTGTGTCAGATATCTCACAGTTTTCCTAGATAAAAAACTAAGCTGAAGAGAACACGTTAAGGGCATAGCTTCCAAACTCTTCGAATCTGCAACTCCGACAGAAGAGCTATTGCTAAAGGAGATCCATAATCAATTAAACACAAAATTTTAATTTCCCAGTATAAAATATTGGGTCAAACAGAAAGAGGAGTGGGCTTCTTCCATAGTAATCCATACACACAATGCAGCTTCAAGCTAATCGATTACAATTCGATATTCTGTCAGAAATTTTGAGCGCAAAAAATGCAGTTGGCTTCGGCTATAAACCTTCCTATGAATAGCGGTGACAACTAAGTATATACAAAGCACCAATACTAAAGCTCATTACATTAGAATATGCAATCAGCCAATTACTAGACTTTAATATCATCTGGAAACCCGTTTATATAGAATTAGAAAGGGCAGCTGAAAACACAATTCCCCTAAGCTGCCGCAGCCAATTCAACTCTTTCAATGGTTGTTTAAAGCAATGGACCTCTGTTGATGCCCTAAATGCAAGAAAAAGCAAGGAAAAACTGTAGCTTCGATTGCACCATTCACAGATAAATTCCATTCAGGAACTTGGATTTGATCGATGTGTGTGGCAGCTAAAGTTGTTCAATGTCAGCAGTTCCGTCAAATGAACGGCTTCTTGAATAAAAAAAGACGATTTTTCTAAAATTTGTGGACCATTTTCGTATATGCAGACAGACAAACGGACATGACTAAATCAACTCAGCTCTTCACGCTGATAAAGGATTTTGTATACTTTCATTTGGATGTGACAAACTGGGTGAAAAATAAATATAACTTGATTAGGGTATAAAAATATAATATTATTAAACTCTAAGTGACACTCCCAGCTACTTTTTATTGCCATTGTAAAAGGTTGCTTGGTAGTATTTAGGTAAGATTTTAGCTCTCAGGATGAAAGAAAATAATTTTACAAACATCACAACTACAGCGTTTTCATATATGCTGAAATTTTGCTTTTGATTTCGTTAAAATTGATCCATATAGGCCGGATTAGCCAGTAAATGTAAATTTTCCAAATAGCTTGCCTACAGCACTGCGCTAAGCTATAACGGTGACTTCAAATCGTGCGAATATTCAGCAGAGCATACAAATGTAACAACAAACGCCAAGCAGTCTTTATTTAGATTTTATTACATTACAGAGAAATATCACTCATACGCCATGTACCCACGTACCTACTGAAG